GTGCTTCCATTTCAGTTTCCACAAATCCCTTCACTCGATTGGGATGTTTTCTTGTGTTCTGGGCCGCAAGTGCTGTAACTGTAACATCTGGCATATTTTGTAGTATTAAACACATATTTATACAATTCTTCACAAAGAACACAATGAATGGCCTTCTCAGCTGCCATAGTGGCAACTCTTGTTGAACACAGTTGAACAGTGTGTTCAACGCATCACCGTTTCGGTTTAAAAAATGTTGTGCGACGTTTTGTCGGGGCTGAACGCAGCCCAGGATAAGACACAAGAGGTCAGAGGTCACGGCAGCCCTTGACATACTTGCTTGACAGATGATGTCATGCAAAATGGAATGGAGATGAAACAGTAAAAAAAAAATCTTTGAATAAAACATTAAAAATAGTTCAATCAACAATTAGATGACAGTGTATTTTAAAATAGGCTAGTGTTATTATTAATTACACTATAGAACATGGGATATAATTCATCTTTATTTATATATATAATTTTTTTTTATCTTGGAAAATTAATGTTGAGGAATGTACTCTGAAACAATGTTAACCTAAAAATGATAACATTGAAATTGACTGATTTAACTACATTTATTAATTTTATTGTATTTTACTTAATCAACCTACATAGATTCAATTTATACCAACAAAATTGTATTTTAATGGGTTAAATCAAGTAAAATACAGGATGATCATAGCTCTTTACTGCCACCCTGTGTTCAACATCTCTCTCTCTCCCTCTCTCTCTCTCTTTCTGAAAAAAATTGAATTTAGAAAATTGAACATTATAACGTGTGTGTGTGTGTGTGAGTGAAGGAGTGTGTATTTGGGCGGTGAGTGAGTGTGTTCCCTCTCTCTCTCTCACCCCCCCCGCCCACACACACACACACACACACACACACAGACTCTGACACGCACCTTCATCATGACTTGCACTTCTGACTGCTGATAATGAGCGCGCGTCCCCTTTAAGAGATGCGCGATAGCGCGTGCGTGTGCTCGAGTGATGAGAGAATAATAATAATAATTTCTCAGGAATCATATCTGGGGAACACCAATATTACTGAAAAAAAGGAAGGTTTCTTCTTCCTTTGTTACTCGTGATCAGTATACAACAGGACTGAGGAACTGAATCAGCATGATCACATCATCAGATATTATTACAGACCTGAGAGCAGTTTTTATTCCACAGTAAACTAAACACAGATCAATCATCGAGCTTGTAGCTTTTCACCATGTTTTTCCCCTTGTGAAAGACATTCATTGTGTAGCTTTAGTCACACTAGGTCAACAAAAAGTACTTAATGAGTCAAAATGACTAATGTAACCTCTGTTCCCTGAGATAAGGAAACAAGTGTTGCGTGTGCTAGATGTTTTTTGTCAGTGGATCTGAAAGATGCATACTTTTATATCCAGATTATCCACTCAGAACCAATGTAGCCAAGAGCTCACTGTTCCCCAGTCAGAGGATCTCTTCCAGCAACATGACATCATGACTTTTGCGTAAACATACACGCCACTTTCGAGTCAAGTGGCGCGTTATCTCTACGCATTTTGAGCTATCCGCGTCTATCCGTGTATGTCTATGCCATTAACGTCGGAGTGATTCCGCGTGTCTGTACACGCCGTCAAATGTCTGCGCAAAACAAAGCAAAATGTAGATCTACATCTGGGGATCGATCTTTTCTTTCCTAGGATGGTGAGGGAACAGTCATAAATGCCATTAACCCCAGTGACGGGTAGGGTTAGGGGCGGGGTTGAGGTAAGTCATATATTTATATATACAGTAATAACGTTAAGTCAACGGCATTCATAAACACGCTGAAAAGCAATTATGCATCTTGATAGCACGCCAAAAATGGAAATACGAATTTCCACCTCCACGTCAAGGTGACCACGGCTGCACCAGAGCCCTGGCCCTCGGTCTAGAGGATGATGGAGCCCTCCATGCCCCGGTGGCCGGCCAGTCATTAGGGAAAAGCAACATGATTCTTCGCTTCCTGAGCGATGAGGCTCAACCTGCCACGCCCCCTACCGTAGCCTCCAGAGACCCATCAGCGGTCCTCATGCCCTGGAATTGTTACAATTGGCCGAATTGAAGCCACTCTTGCTTAAGACTGCGCTACTGCCAGCCTTAGCATCAGTCAAGTGAGTGGGGGACCTCCAAGCACTCTTTGTTAGCACCTCCTGGCTGGAGTTTGGACCAGGTGTGCCCAAGGTGCTTTCAACTCCGTTCAAAGCACTGGTAATTACGCTTTCTCCTCTTACCACGGCGGAAGACAAGCAACAATTACACCTGCTCCGGTTAGAGCATATTTAAAGTCCCTGTAAAGTCAAAATTAAGTATGTGTTCTGAGTTTGTCACACAACAGAAAAATGTGATATTAGACACCCAGCCAAATTTGAATGATAAAAAAAGCCGGCAAGTACATAAAATAAGCTATCAAAATCTTGAAAAAATGAGCAGTTATCTCTGTTCTCAAACACTGGGGGCGTGTCCGCTGGCTGCGCTGAAACCACGCCCACTCGCGGGAAAGCTGTCGACGGTGATATTATGTGAAACCGCTCTCGGAAGGATGAACGCTGAGGCGGAAGATAGTCGTTTCGGCCCCGTTCACCAGCAGCATCGGATCATCAGTGAATGCCAGTTGGAAAGTTTATAAAACGATCCTGTGTAAAATGATCACTACAGAGGCGGGTGTTGCTGGCGGTGATCCGGTGATCAGCTCTTCATTAAGGTTGGCTCTACACAAAATTAATCCACCTCTTCTTGATGTGATCGCTTTTAGGAAATTTAAATAAAGACACCGATCTGTTTTGTACATGATCGCATCCAGGTAGTAGCCTATGCATTTCCTTGTCAAAGGCATAGCAAGCTAGCAAACTGTAGGCTCAGCTGTAGTAACTGATAGCACTGAGAGTAACTCGCGATTGAGCGGCGAATGCAAATGTGCTCTATTGTTAGGGGAGAGATCAGCCCCTGTCTATGGATCAGCCAACGTGCGTCATCAAGTTGGGGCGTGTCCACGAGCTCTTGGGCTCCAGTGCGTCGTCGAGCCCTGTTTTAGCCCCGCCCAAAAAATTCGTAAAATAGTAAGGGTGAAAAACTGTTTAACGGTCTAACTCCGTATTTCAGAACTTCACAGTTCAGTCTTTGTAATGTTTTAGCAATACATTTGTAACATTTATAATGTGTTTAGAATTTTTTTGTTGAATTACCTTTACAGGGACTTTAAAGCGCTCCATCCAGTTCGGACAATCGGGACTTACCCTTCGTACGGGTCTTCACCGCCGTGGTCTCCCGAGGGGTCTTCACCGCCGTGGTCTCCCGAGGGGTCTTCACCGCCGTGGTCTCCCGAGGGGTCTTTACCGCCGTGGTCTCCCGAGGGGTCTTCACCGCCGTGGTCTCCCGAGGGGTCTTTACCGCCGTGGTCTCCCGAGGGGTCTTCACCGCCGTGGTCTCCCGAGGGGTCTTTACCGCCGTGGCCGCCCGAGGGGTCTTCACCGCCGTGGTCTCCCGAGGGGTCTTCACCGCCGTGGTCTCCCGAGGGGTCTTCACCGCCGTGGTCTCCCGAGGGGTCTTTACCGCCGTGGCCGCCCGAGGGGTCTTCACCGCCGTGGTCTCCCGAGGGGTCTTCACCGCCGTGGTCTCCCGAGGGGTCTTCACCGCCGTGGTCTCCCGAGGGGTCTTTACCGCCGTGGTCTCCCGAGGGGTCTTCACCGCCGTGGTCTCCCGAGGGGTCTTCACCGCCGTGGTCTCCCGAGGGGTCTTCACCGCCGTGGTCTCCCGAGGGGTCTTCACCGCCGTGGTCTCCCGAGGGGTCTTCACCGCCGTGGTCTCCCGAGGGGTCTTCACCGCCGTGGTCTCCCGAGGGGTCTTCACCGCCGTGGTCTCCCGAGGGGTCTTTACCGCCGTGGCCGCCCGAGGGGTCTTCACCGCCGTGGTCTCCCGAGGGGTCTTCACCGCCGTGGTCTCCCGAGGGGTCTTCACCGCCGTGGTCTCCCGAGGGGTCTTCACCGCCGTGGTCTCCCGAGGGGTCTTTACCGCCGTGGTCTCCCGAGGGGTCTTTACCGCCGTGGTCTCCCGAGGGGTCTTCACCGCCGTGGTCTCCCGAGGGGTCTTTACCGCCGTGGCCGCCCGAGGGGTCTTCACCGCCGTGGTCTCCCGAGGGGTCTTCACCGCCGTGGTCTCCCGAGGGGTCTTCACCGCCGTGGTCTCCCGAGGGGTCTTCACCGCCGTGGTCTCCCGAGGGGTCTTCACCGCCGTGGTCTCCCGAGGGGTCTTCACCGCCGTGGTCTCCCGAGGGGTCTTCACCGCCGTGGTCTCCCGAGGGGTCTTTACCGCCGTGGCCGCCCGAGGGGTCTTCACCGCCGTGGTCTCCCGAGGGGTCTTCACCGCCGTGGTCTCCCGAGGGGTCTTCACCGCCGTGGTCTCCCGAGGGGTCTTCACCGCCGTGGTCTCCCGAGGGGTCTTTACCGCCGTGGTCTCCCGAGGGGTCTTTACCGCCGTGGTCTCCCGAGGGGTCTTCACCGCCGTGGTCTCCCGAGGGGTCTTTACCGCCGTGGCCGCCCGAGGGGTCTTCACCGCCGTGGTCTCCCGAGGGGTCTTCACCGCCGTGGTCTCCCGAGGGGTCTTCACCGCCGTGGTCTCCCGAGGGGTCTTTACCGCCGTGGTCTCCCGAGGGGTCTTCACCGCCGTGGTCTCCCGAGGGGTCTTCACCGCCGTGGCCGCCCGAGGGGCCTTTGTGCCATGTGGTTGTAGTTCTTTGTAGTTTTTCCTGTTGATTAGTTCATGATTGTTCTCAGGTGTATCTTGTTTCCTCATTACTTAATTTAGCTTGTTTGTCCCTGTGTATTTATTGCCTTGTGTTTCACTTGTTACTTTGTCAGTTGTTGTATGTGTAAAGATTGCCTCCCCTGGCTTTGTTCCTTTTTTCCTCTAGTTCTATGTTATCTGTTTTTTGTTACTTTATTAAATCACCCAGTGTTTAGATCCTCGTTTTGGCCTGCTTTCCTCAGCTACATTACACTAAACAAGCAAAGCTGATCATTTATTTATACACACAAAATACACAACACATTCAATGATTATCAATTACAATGGATTAAAAATCAAAACATTCCCTGACACTTGTACAGAACTTATTAAACAATTACTACTTATACACTTAAATATTATTGTTTTGATGTGTTATAGTTACTATCACATATTTCATGAAATGCAAATAAGAGCTGACTCTTTTATTTGGGAATGTAGTGGAGACAGAAATGAATGAAATGCTTTTAGATGTTTCTGATCAAATAATTCACCTTTCTATTTATGCAATACCCTGAAGACATCACTCAATTTTTATGATGGCTTGGTGTTATTTTTTGCCAAATCTTTGTGGCACTGCCATGCTCCATATCTGCCCAGGAACCGTCTCCCAGTCACGGGACTGTATCCTTTCCTCTGTGGACACGCCAGTCCGAGCGCCCCGACCGAACCTGGAAGCAGAGGAATAATGCCAGCCGTGACTCAAAGTGAACAGTTGTCTCTTTAATGCCACAGAATATTATGGACCACAATCTTCGACAATCACTGATATGTTAAAACTGGTGTACAATATTAAAGAACAGCTGAATAAGCTGTCTTGGTGGTAAGAGGCCCTTACGACACCAACTGGTGTAACCAAGCTGGGGTTACTCAGGGCTCGGTCTCGGGCCCCTTGCTCTACTTACATCACTGAGACCTTCTCTACCGCCACTACAGCAATACAGCGTCACGTCACTGAGACCTTCTCTACCGCCTCTACAGCAATACAGCGTCACGTCACTGAGACCTTCTCTACCGCCGCTACATCAGCGCAGGGGTCGCGTCGCTGAGACCTTCTCTACCGCCGCTACATCAGCGCAGGGGTCGCGTCGCTGAGACCTTCTCTACCGCCGCTACATCAGCGCAGCGGTCGCGTCGCTGAGACCTTCTCTACCGCCGCTACATCAGCGCAGGGGTCGCGTCGCTGAGACCTTCTCTACCGCCGCTACATCAGCGCAGCGGTCGCGTCGCTGAGACCTTCTCTACCGCCGCTACATCAGTGCAGGGGTCGCGTCGCTGAGACCTTCTCTACCGCCGCTACATCAGCGCAGGGGTCGCGTCGCTGAGACCTTCTCTACCGCCGCTACATCAGCGCAGCGGTCGCGTCGCTGAGACCTTCTCTACCGCCGCTACATCAGTGCAGGGGTCGCGTCGCTGAGACCTTCTCTACCGCCGCTACATCAGCGCAGCGGTCGCGTCGCTGAGACCTTCTCTACCGCCGCTACATCAGTGCAGGGGTCGCGTCGCTGAGACCTTCTCTACCGCCGCTACATCAGCGCAGCGGTCGCGTCGCTGAGACCTTCTCTACCGCCGCTACATCAGTGCAGCGTCAGCGTCGCTGAGACCTTCTCTACCGCCGCTACATCAGCGCAGCGGTCGCGTCGCTGAGACCTTCTCTACCGCCGCTACATCAGCGCAGGGGTCGCGTCGCTGAGACCTTCTCTACCGCCGCTACATCAGCGCAGGGGTCGCGTCGCTGAGACCTTCTCTACCGCCGCTACATCAGTGCAGGGGTCGCGTCGCTGAGACCTTCTCTACCGCCGCTACATCAGCGCAGCGGTCGCGTCGCTGAGACCTTCTCTACCGCCGCTACATCAGTGCAGGGGTCGCGTCGCTGAGACCTTCTCTACCGCCGCTACATCAGCGCAGCGGTCGCGTCGCTGAGACCTTCTCTACCGCCGCTACATCAGCGCAGCGGTCGCGTCGCTGAGACCTTCTCTACCGCCGCTACATCAGTGCAGGGGTCGCGTCGCTGAGACCTTCTCTACCGCCGCTACATCAGCGCAGCGGTCGCGTCGCTGAGACCTTCTCTACCGCCGCTACATCAGCGCAGCGTCAGCGTCGCTGAGACCTTCTCTACCGCCGCTACATCAGTGCAGGGGTCGCGTCGCTGAGACCTTCTCTACCGCCGCTACATCAGCGCAGCGGTCGCGTCGCTGAGACCTTCTCTACCGCCGCTACATCAGTGCAGCGTCAGCGTCGCTGAGACCTTCTCTACCGCCGCTACATCAGCGCAGCGGTCGCGTCGCTGAGACCTTCTCTACCGCCGCTACATCAGCGCAGGGGTCGCGTCGCTGAGACCTTCTCTACCGCCGCTACATCAGCGCAGGGGTCGCGTCGCTGAGACCTTCTCTACCGCCGCTACATCAGTGCAGGGGTCGCGTCGCTGAGACCTTCTCTACCGCCGCTACATCAGCGCAGCGGTCGCGTCGCTGAGACCTTCTCTACCGCCGCTACATCAGTGCAGGGGTCGCGTCGCTGAGACCTTCTCTACCGCCGCTACATCAGCGCAGCGGTCGCGTCGCTGAGACCTTCTCTACCGCCGCTACATCAGTGCAGCGTCAGCGTCGCTGAGACCTTCTCTACCGCCGCTACATCAGCGCAGCGGTCGCGTCGCTGAGACCTTCTCTACCGCCGCTACATCAGCGCAGGGGTCGCGTCGCTGAGACCTTCTCTACCGCCGCTACATCAGCGCAGGGGTCGCGTCGCTGAGACCTTCTCTACCGCCGCTACATCAGTGCAGGGGTCGCGTCGCTGAGACCTTCTCTACCGCCGCTACATCAGCGCAGCGGTCGCGTCGCTGAGACCTTCTCTACCGCCGCTACATCAGTGCAGGGGTCGCGTCGCTGAGACCTTCTCTACCGCCGCTACATCAGCGCAGCGGTCGCGTCGCTGAGACCTTCTCTACCGCCGCTACATCAGCGCAGCGGTCGCGTCGCTGAGACCTTCTCTACCGCCGCTACATCAGCGCAGCGGTCGCGTCGCTGAGACCTTCTCTACCGCCGCTACATCAGTGCAGGGGTCGCGTCGCTGAGACCTTCTCTACCGCCGCTACATCAGCGCAGCGGTCGCGTCGCTGAGACCTTCTCTACCGCCGCTACATCAGCGCAGCGTCAGCGTCGCTGAGACCTTCTCTACCGCCGCTACATCAGCGCAGCGTCAGCGTCGCTGAGACCTTCTCTACCGCCGCTACATCAGCGCAGCGGTCGCGTCGCTGAGACCTTCTCTACCGCCGCTACATCAGTGCAGCGGTCGCGTCGCTGAGACCTTCTCTACCGCCGCTACATCAGTGCAGGGGTCGCGTCGCTGAGACCTTCTCTACCGCCGCTACATCAGTGCAGGGGTCGCGTCGCTGAGACCTTCTCTACCGCCGCTACATCAGCGCAGCGGTCGCGTCGCTGAGACCTTCTCTACCGCCGCTACATCAGTGCAGCGTCCGCGTCGCTGAGACCTTCTCTACCGCCGCTACATCAGTACAGCGGTCGCATCAGGGTTGCATTGATGCAAATAAAATCAAATTTTAAATCTAAAGAACACATATATGATTGTTTGTGTAAAAACATTGACCAGTATGTCAAGAACAGAATGTTTCACAAACTCATGAGTTTGTACCTGGTTGGCATTCATCATTATAATTAAGATGGTTACTTTAACTACGCACCGCTGGGGCTGGTGCAGCACTGAAGGGTTGCGTTCATATCTCTGAGAGTCCTGGAGTAAAGACCGCAACATCTCCACCAGAAGACGATCCTCCAGTAAATGATCCATCTTCTCCTCCGAGGCCTGATACACACCCATAACAGTCTTCATCAGCATCTCACACACCCATAACACAGTCTTCATCAGCATCCGTTTCTTCACAAACACTGATGTTAAACAGTAGTTCGAGTAGACCAGGTGCTCTTTTCCTCAAATGTGCAAACGCTAACTACTGGATCAAGCTGTGGTGATCTATCGGCTGCTTCTGACGATTCAAACACTAATTGATTAGGATTGTCAAGAGTTCATGAGGTGAATTTTACCATCCAACAAGTAATTTTATGGGTTTGATTGGTCCTTTTAAAGATATTGTTGCAAAAGGGAATGATATTCTTTAATTCACAGAAAGTTAATATAATTCTAACAAATTCCGATAATGTAACATTAAAATGTAAAAAGTGTGCTTTGTAATAGTCAAAAGTCCATTTTTAATCATTTTATGTTTATTTTTGTTTTGACTAACATACTAAAGCACATGTAAAGCACTTGATTAAAAATTTAACTGTAGTGTGTTATTTTATGTTTAAATGTGTTATATTACAAAACATAATAATTACAAATGTCCATACAAGACTTCTTTGAGTTACTGCCCTAATGCCAGTACGGTGTGGCACTACCTAACTTCTACAGCAGGGTTAGATGAACAGATCATTTACAGCAGGGTTAGATGAATTGATCGCTATTGAATGTTGTGCAAGTGTTTTACCTCTCGACTCTCCACCGTGGTCCTGTCGGAGTCCTCGCGTGACTCCAGCGGGTGTTTGCTCTGCTCCAGCACGTCCTCTTTCGGGAAGGACTGGCTCAGATCAGTCATTACCAGCAGTACGCCGATCACCAGCCACACACCTGCATCCATCACTGCAGTTCGACCAGTCCAGGCGCTGCTCATCTGGATCTGCACTGGTGTTATGGTGTAAGTGGAGCCGATCTGGCCAAGCTTTCCCATGGCTGTGGCAACTGTCCTTATATATAGTAAGCGTGCGACTCCAGAGACTAATGAGTGACTGATGCTCCATCTGTTATGCTGGGGATTTGGTGATGGTCTGTATTATGGATCCCACAGGAACTCAGGGATGAACATACTTATTAAATCTAGACCAGCAAACACACTCCCAAAACATTGGCCAGCTCTTTCTTTGTTCATATCAATCAATGACACTCTGATGACATAGACAAAATCAGTTAAAGTCATTAAAGACATTAGAGAGTAATAATATACATATACAGTACTGTGCAGAAGTCTTAGGCACACTAGTATTTTCGCCTCAAAAGAAATGGTTTTAAGCCAGTTATTTCTATATTTTGTTGTAGTGTCTCAGTATCAGTTTACATTTCCAGTCATTAATTGTGCCATTAATTGTAATAATCCAGTGAAATTTTTGAATGCTCAAGGATTCTGACAACAGCCAATGCTCCACACGGAGGTCGGATCTCACCATCATCGAGTGCATCTGAAATTATATGAAGAAACAGCAAAAACAGAGACTAAGACCAGAAGAACTGTGGCAACGTTTCCAAAGACGCTTGAAAAAACCTGTAAAACTAAAAAACTGTGCAATACCTGGACAAAAGCTGTTTTAAACGTAAAGGGAACTAAACACCTATTGATTTGATTTAGTTAACTGTTAAAAGTTAATAACAGTTAATAATAGTTAACTACTAAAAGTGAATTGATAAATAAAATATATTTATGATTATGACATTTTTGAAAACATTCTCATTTACAGCATTTTTACTCAAGTGCTTTTTCCCAGTACTGCAGCTTTGCAGGCCGGCGGGCACTACCTTCGAGACGCTGCCGCAGTTCTTCTGGTCTTAGTCTCTGTTTTTGCTGTTTCTTCATATAATTTCAGATGCACTCGATGATGGTGAGATCCGACCTCCGTGTGGAGCATTGGCTGTTGTCAGAATCCTTGAGTATTCAAAAATTTCACTGGATTATTACAATTAATGGCACAATTAATGACTGGAAATGTAAACTGATATTTCCTACTGAGACACTACAACAAAATATAGAAATAACTGGCTTAAAACCATTTCTTTGAGGCGAAAATACCAGTGTGCCTAAGACTTCTGCACAGTACTGTAGTAATTACTATTTTACTACTATAGTAATAAGATACTCATGTGAAAATATATCTGATATGATTGAGGTCCTGGAGTTTCTATTCATTAACATTCATACCAATGACAGCAGAACGACTGATGCTGGTGAATATCATTTTAATATAATATTTTTGTTTTAAATACTTACAAAAATGTTACTTTAGTGGAATGCACACTAACTTATGAATGGCTATTAATGGGAAATAAACTAAGGACTTAAATACTCAAGGAACGATAATTGACAGAATAGGGAACAGGTGTTTAACTCAATTAGAAACCACAGCAACTAACAATGAGAACGAACAAACGAGAACTCAGGCAAAAAAGAACATCGCATGCCGTAATGAGTCCAACTGAGGAGGGAGGGAGGAGGTTTTGGAGGAGGATGCGGATCTGAAAAGATTGTGATAGAGAAGAGGATAGCAGAGGGAAACCCCATGGAGGAGACAAAGGAGGGAGAAGCCTAAGTGGAGCCAGGAATCAGACCGACAGCGGTGGAGCCAGGGGAGTTGAAGACCCGGGCGGAGCGGAGGAGACAAAAAGATAGGGTGACACCGTAGGACCAGGAGGCCAAGGTGAAGCAAGGGTGATGAGTGGCAGAGGTGGAGTGGCAATGACGAGTGGCTGAGGAGAAGCCAAGGTGACGATTGGCCGAGGTGGAGCCAGGGTGATGAGTGGCCAAGGTGGAGTGGCAATGACGAGTGGCTGAGGAGAAGCCAAGGTGACGATTGGCCGAGGTGGAGCGGCAGTGACGAGTGGCCAAGGTGGAGCGGCGGTGACGAGTGGCTGAGGAGAAGCCAAGGTGACGAGTGGCCGAGGTGGAACCAGGGTGATGAGTGACCGAGGTGGAGCGGCAGTGACGTGTGGCCGAGGTGGAGCCAGGGTGATGAGTGACCGAGGTGGAGCGGCAGTGACGAGTGGCCAAGGTGGAGTGGCAATGACGAGTGGCTGAGGAGAAGCCAAGGTGACGATTGGCCGAGGTGGAGCGGCAGTGACGAGTGGCCAAGGTGGAGCGGCGGTGACGAGTGGCTGAGGAGAAGCCAAGGTGACGAGTGGCCGAGGTGGAGCCAGGGTGATGAGTGACCGAGGTGGAGCGGCAGTGACGTGTGGCCGAGGTGGAGCCAGGGTGATGAGTGACCGAGGTGGAGCGGCAGTGACGAGTGGCCAAGGTGGAGTGGCAATGACGAGTGGCTGAGGAGAAGCCAAGGTGACGAGCGGCTGAAGTGGAGCCAGGGTGATGAATGACCGAGGTAGAGCGGCGGTGACGAGTGGCAAAAGTGGAGCGGCGGTGACGAGTGGCAAAGGTGGAGCCAGGGTGATGAGTGGCAGAGGTGGAGCCAGGGGGATGAGTGGCAGAGGTGGAGTGGCAATGACGAGTGGCTGAGGAGAAGCCAAGGTGACGATTGGCCGAGGTGGAGCCAGGGTGATGAGTGGCCAAGGTGGAGCGGCGGTGACGAGTGGCTGAGGAGAAGCCAAGGTGACGAGTGGCCGAGGTGGAACCAGGGTGATGAGTGACCGAGGTGGAGCGGCAGTGACGTGTGGCCGAGGTGGAGCCAGGGTGATGAGTGACCGAGGTGGAGCCAGGATGACGAGTGGCCAAGGTGGAGTGGCAATGACGTGTGGCTGAGGAGAAGCCAAGGTGACGAGTGGCTGAGGTGGAGCCAGGGTGATGAGTGGACCAGGTGGAGCGGCGGTGACGAGTGGCCGAGGTGGAGCCAGGGTGATGAGTGGCCGAGGTGGAGCGGCGGTGACGAGTGGCCAAGGTGGAGTGGCAATGACGTGTGGCTGAGGAGAAGCCAAGGTGACGAGTGGCTGAGGTGGAGCCAGGGTGATGAGTGGACCAGGTGGAGCCAGGGTGATGAGTGGCCGAGGTGGAGCCAGGGTGATGAGTGGACCAGGTGGAGCCAGGGTGATGAGTGGCAGAGGTGGAGTGGCAATGACGAGTGGCTGAGGAGAAGCCAAGGTGACGAGTGGCTGAGGTGGAGCCAGGGTGATGAGTGGCCAAGGTGGAGCGCCGGTGACGAGTGGCTGAGGAGAAGCCAAGGTGACGAGCGGCTGAGGTGGAACCAGGGTGATGAGTGACCGAGGTGGAGCGGCAGTGACGTGTGGCCAAGGTGGAGTGGCAATGACGTGCGGCTGCGGAGAAGCCAAGGTGACGAGCGGCTGAGGTGGAGCCAGGGTGATGAATGACCGAGGTGGAGCGGCAGTGACGAGTGGCAATAGTGGAGCAACAGTGACGAGTGGCCGAGGTGGTGCGGCGGTGACGAGTGGCCAAGGTGAAGCAAGGGTTTTGAGTGGCCGAGGTGGAGCCAGGATGACGAGTGGCAGAGGTGGAGCCAGGGGGATGAGTGGCCAAGGTGGAGTGGCGGGGACGAGTGGCCGAGGTGTAGTGGTGGTGATGAGTTGCTGAGGTGAAGCGGTGGTGATGTGTGGCTGAGGTGAAGCGGCGATGACGAGTGGCCATAGTGGAGCGGCGTGATGAGTGGCCAAGGTTCTCCTCTGATGTAAAGTCTATTTTTACTTCCTTTAAGAAAATGTCAAAACCTTTGAACACAAAGAAAACATGTATCGTCCTCGAGTCGAACACAAAGAAAACATGTATCGTCCTCGAGTCTGTTGTAAGGAACCTTTCATTTTTCAGGATGACAAACGTTATGTTGTGTTTGTATTTCTCACTGTTAATATCTGTATCCTTTCATTTGCCAAAAGAAAAGCCTATATACTGCACATGTATACGTCACAGTTTCACAGATTCATGGTTTTGTTGTTTACACAGAAATGATAATAGTGTCGCTTTCAAAAGCCTTTCAAAAGTTTGGGTTTTCATGCCACCAAAATGCCATTGTCATTTAAATAAATGGTCAAAACGCAAATTTAAATACACACGGTAAGTTCATGAATAGGGAACAGGTGTGTAATTCAATTAGAAACCATAGCAAATAAAATGAGAACTCGTGCAAACAGACTTTTTGAGTTTCTGTTGTTAAGATATAAACTCAGAATTTGCGAATGTCATCAGATTCCTTTTTTTCTCAGAATTTTAAAATTTAAATTTGCCATTGTAGGAAAGTATCATAATTTTGAGACAAAAAATAACAATTATATTTTCATGTGGAAACCAGCAAACAAACAAAAATGTGTTTTGCTACCTTTCCCATTAAGTTCTGAAACCATTATATCTGAATGCTCTCTGAACGTTTTTTAGATGTTTTAAAAACGTTTTTCCTTGGTTATGTGAGTCTTATGAGGACATTCCATCGCATCACTCTCCAAACATTATGAAACTGTTACTTTTGAATGTTCTGAAACAAGTAGCAACATTTAAAAAACATTACATGAACGTCAACTACACGCTTCAGCAAAGATGTTCCATGAACAATGTTTAAATAATGTTTTTATGATAAAGTTTTGAGAACATTATTAAAGACCAGATAACTTTGGAAGTACATTCGTTCATAACTTTGAGAGAATCTTGCCAGAACGTTATATCTAAAGTATTGAGTTCCCTTTAAGCTGTGAAACGAGCTTACATAATATGTTTCCATACTAACTGAACCAACCAGCTGAAGCCTGAACACACACACACACAAACAGGGATAAAACACAAATCTGTTTAAAGTGCTGGTCATATCATCAGGGACGAACCTACACAACACATCCATTAGCCACCATGACAACTAATAGGCTTATAGACTAAAGCATTGACGTGTATTTGAGCTGAGTGAGATACTGTTTCTGTCTTATTAATTCACATCATGAGCAGTGATAATTCAAAGCAAAGTTCCTGAAACAGCAGAAATCAGACAAGGGCCGTGCCGGAGATCTTGACTGAGTGCCAATCCTCTGTTGATAACGGGCTAGCATTGATCGAGACATCTGTCAGGCATCATGAATGAAACTGATGCAGTTTTAAGGCAGTGGTGATGGATGTGTTAGACTCTCTAGAAGATAAAAGCATCTTCCAAGTGTGTGTGTGAATGAATGAATGAATGAATGAATGAATGAATGAATGAATGAATGAATGAATGGAGATTCTGTAAGTCTCTGGGGACCCACTGGAGTCTGGGAGAATTACTGAGGCTTTACACCGGACTCTCGTTCACCGTGATCGCTCACTGAACGACTGACTTCCTTACCAGGGAACCTCCACAGCCCATCTCAGAGGCATCAGTGAGGCATATATATACACACATCACCACCCTTGTGAAAAAGAAGTAAACTTAACTCTATTAAATGAGCACTGGAAACCTGCGTTTCTTAAACTGTACTTATATCAGTGAAATAAAAGGCCTTTTACAGGGTTCCTGCACACTTTTTAAAAGTAAAATTTAAGACTTTTTAAGACCTTTTTAAGACCTGAAGAAATCAAAATTAATACCATACATTAGGGGTGTGCGATATTGACAAAAATATATCTCGATATTTTCAACGTTTTGTTGATAAACACAAAACAAAAACACAATCAGTAAAATATCAACTAATTATTATCAACAATAATTAGTTGATATTTTACTGATTGTGTTTTTGTGCTGGTGCCATGGCAGGTTTAGGCCTGTTGTTGACAGCAGAATCGCGGAGATATTTATATTTTTCATATTCTATGCAGTGGTCAGTTCACAGCAGTGACAGAAATTATTAATTAATATGCAATATTTTCCACCTTAAATTGATTTCCAGGGGCATTTTCACCTATTTATGGAGATTTTTTTCCCTAAACTTATTTAGAGTTATGCACCACGTATATACAGTAATTATACTTATTTATACAATAATATTTAATTACACAATAATTATACAGTACCACGGTTAGCAGTCAAATTAAATCATTCAATCAAAAATCCATCTTTGCAGTGCAGAGTAGACGCAGAAGCAGCCTTAGAAGTGGCATTAATATATAGACTCCATTACAATTGCATAAATCAAGCTATATTTTTAAAAAAAAAAAACAATATTCAATATTTAAATGTGAAATGATTTCTAATTTTTTAACGTTCTACTTTTAATATGAAACTAAAACCGCCAGTAGGCGGCGGTAAATCGCTGTCTTAATAAGCGAGATGAGGGAGTCATTCATTCAACCGATTTGTTCAAACGGGAAAGAAAGCAAGTGATTGAATCGTTAAAATGACTCGTTCAAGACGCGGATTTCCTTCAAGAAATCATCGCTTTCTGTTGCATTGAGACTCTGCTACGGTTTCATTTTGAAATTCTAGTCGGCGAAATAAAGGGGAAACAAACAATATCGATAATGTTATGTCTAAAAACTAACTCACAATGTAAATTTATTTTTAATTTAACTATTGTATAACATAAATATCACACTTGGGAAAACGGCACTCTTACTGATGTGATATTCTAATATAACAACATGATATAAATATAAGGCAAAAACTAATTTGGGGACATAACTATAACCATAGACATAATAAATACATGCCTATAACTGCAAACATCACGCAGTGAAAAACGAGAGACAAATGTCAGTCAGCTCACACTCACACTCGCCTCGTCCATCGTTAAAACAATAGAATATCACAATAGACAATACACATCACACACCTCTACGCACATAAAGAATTAACTTACGACTTAACTGACATTTGCCAACTTTCTTCTCTCCTCCTCTCCTGTCTCGCGTGCACGTTATTCTGCCGCGAATGTGACGCGCACTGTCACGCGCACAAGCAAATCCACAAAGATAGATAAAAATGAATACGTACGCAAATTAGATGGTTTTAATTTGGAAAACATTAAGATATGACTAAGTCGAAGTGTCATCTAAAATTTAAGACCTTTCATACCTAAAAATAAGACTTTATAAGACTTTTAATGGCCTTAAATTTTAAATATCTAATTTAAGACTTTTTAAGGACCCGCGGGAACCCTGTTTTAGCTGTACGTTCATCACGGTTTCTTAACACACTCAGGTACACCTTTAAATAATGTCTAATTAAATTAGGTTTTACTTTCAAGTACATTTTAAATCATGTCTTAATAATCTTTTGTAGTGCTTTAAAGAAGGACATGTGTGTCGATGTGTTGACAAGCGCACTAAAGCACTCGTGTTGATGAATATCTGCTGTTATAAACTAGCAGGTCTATGTATGGTATGAACATCATGAAGCGGAGACAGGTGCGTTTGACGGGTCATCAGCTCAGATCTGTTTAACACACACTCGTCTCTGTGCCACCGTCCCGTTTCATGTCATCATACACACACATCAGTGTATTAACATTAATGAATGCATACGTGCTTATGAAGGCAGATCGGAGAGACAAAGCAAAAAATGTGTTCTTTTATAAATTTGTTAATTTATGTAACATTTTAGTTGATGGTGGACAAAGTGCACTTCATATTGTCCGATACTTGTATGTATAGGAGGTTATATTTGTGTAATTGAAACATGATTTTTCCCTACATTGCTGCACAATCTTGTCTGTTTGCACACAGTTGTTATTTTCTGCAGATTCACACAGTTCTGCCACCATTGTTGTTTCTGTGGCCATAAAACATCTGACATCAGACTTGAAGCTGGTGAGATTTTGGACTTTTATTCGTTTGTCAGCATGTACAGTGTCAATAATGCACATCGGGTTCATCAGGGCATATGGATCATGTCATGCAGACATAAATGCATCAGCCACTCTTCATGGTTCACAGCATGGAATGTGTTTAAAACGAACACCAGAACCAAACACGGGTTACGGCAAAATAACTCGCATCTGTTTTTACGAGAGAAACACAGTAAATTAAAGTCATCACGACTAGCATTTCAGAGCACAAACATGACGGAGATGAAACTTCAGAAGATCAATGACAGAAAGAAGTAGTTTGTCAAAATGATTTAAAGGCACTTTTGTTGCTTCTTGAAAGGTTTTTAAAAATCTGCATCTTATCGAACTACACGTCAGTCAGAAACCCGTTTCGTTCTCTAACGTCTCACTGCTGTTATATTGCCAAACGAAGGCAGAAAATCTGTAAATCTGACGAAGGGTTGAAGTAGTCGTGCACAATAACAGAATCTTTGAAAAATGGAAAAAAAATCAGAATGGATGTGAAACGAATCAATGAAAACGACGATGGATGAAAGATTTGACGATGGGCGTTTGATTTAAGCCCAGATACAGACTCTGACCCGTCCGACAGATCCACGAGCTGATGATGCTCATTCCATTCAATAAATACTCATTCTCTGATTCAGCTATTCACTTAAAACACGTTTTAGTGTGAAAATATTACTACAGATTATAAAACACCTCATCGGTTTATTCATGTTAACAAATATGTAAGAACCATTAAATAACTGTTAAAATGCTCCAGTCGGCCGATCATCAGCAAACGAGTCGTTAGGAAGTTAGTGTGTCAAACTGAATTATCGTCACACACTGATCTTTTGTCATTTCAATAATGAATGATTTTAAACACATATTTCTGCAGCTGTTGCTGTAAATAACTTATTCCGATAGATCTACTCAATCAGCTCTGCCAGACCTACAATAGTAGATCTATAAACCAAAGGAAACAGGAAAAGAAACAAATATTTGGATTGTACTGTTTGTCCCAGTATGGACGTTCCTCACATTAGAAGAACAAACGTTCATACTTCTGGTGCTCATGAGTTTGGTTCAGGAGTCGAACTCTGGCTGTTCATCGATGAGGACGGCGGGTGGAAACCGGACGGATCCGGTGAAGTCGAGCCGAGAGACGCCGAGAGCGATCAGACAGATCCAGACCTGCGGACAGAAGAAACCGCACATCACAACAGCTCTCATCCACTGACTGATCATCCTCACACACACACACACACACACACACACAGCAGCCTAGAGCACGCTGATGTTAAACACTGAGCTCAGAGTCGATTTGCGATACATTCTGCAAAAATTGGCATCAGTCCATGAATGGCGATGCAGATAAAGTCCCCCCGCCCCGTTTAATACAGGCTCTCACTGGCAGCTGATCCCGAGTGTTATAAAGAGAAACCTCGCAGCTCCAGCTGTTCTTACGGTCACTGGATATGATGAAATATTGATGTCTAAAATTGAATCTGACGAACTGCTGACCGGCAGGATCTGCACAACTGAGCCGTTCAAATGAAGGATGCTTTGAGTCTCACCAGATAGATGACGAAGCTCAGGTACGCGATGGAGAGGAGGGCAGAGAAGACGTAGAGGACGGTGCTGTTGAGGGCCGTCACGTACACCACCACAAAGTACATGTTGATGGCACACACCAGCAGGATGAGCACACCACCGCTGATCTTCCACACGCTGCAAACACAGAACAATCTTCAGGCCACTGGAGCACATGACAGGACTGGAACAGCTAGTCAGATCTATACTGAAACAGCGGTTTACCGATCGCCATTCTCCTACTGTGAAGCTGCTTCGTATACAGTGCGATTTACAGTAACGTGACATCACACCCTTATATTGGAGGGCAAAGCAAGGCTTTCCTCCATCGGTCATCATTTTTCACATTTCACATGCACGCTTTTCGCGCTAGTGTAAATTAGAGGAGGGAAGCGAAACACAAGATCGAGTTCTAAAAAAAATGCTCTCATTATTTCAGGGTTCCCACACCTTGATTGACTTCGAATTCAAGGACCTTTCAAGCACTTTCCAGGCTCAATACCCTCAAGTTCAAGGAGTTGACGTGGGGACACATTTCAAGTGAGAGCAAAGTCACATCACGTCACCTTGTAAGATTGACATTGTTACAGTTTTCATGTGTCAAACCAACTATGCAAAAAAGCTTGTTATTGTGTTTTTTTTGGCCACATGACAGAGATCTGATATTCTATTTGTCGTGTTTGTTTAGCCTAAAACTGAAGAATATTCAGTACATCCTATACTATATTCTAAAACTTTAGCATGGATGTTATTGCAAAGAGCTTTGGCTCATGAAACCAGCCAATTTTTGCAATGTTTCACAGTTATTATACCTCAAGTACACTGCTTGACAGTATACTTAAGTATTTACTAGTGTTTATTAGTTATAAATGTTCCAGTCATTTGCTGTGTTCAGACTTAAGTTTTGTTTGACTACATTCAAGAAGTGTACTTGGAAAAAATTAAACAAAAGTTCATATTTCCGACTGCTTGTATTAATTGACAAAAATGAAGCCATGTGCAGTGATATTGCAGCACATCATGATGCATTGATGCATGATGTGATATTGAATTGAATCATATTGTTGACATCTTAATGGAATTGAATCGTGAGACCAGTGACGATTCACAACCCTAACAGGGATATTAAAAGACCAAATCCAGTATACAGCTGACTGAAAAAGCATATACAGGCAAACAGATGAACCCAGAATATAAACACAGCCCACTGTTTCTCGAGTTTGCAGCCAAGTACAGTATAGATACTTACAGTCCGTTAGCGAAATCGTTCATTAGTGATGTCAGACTGGTGAAGGTCAGGATGGGGATCAGAGCAAACGGCAGCTGTGGAAACAGAGCAGAAGATCAGAAGAGCTGCATGGGTTTCAGCAGTGTTTCTCCGGCGTCATGTTTCAACCGGGTACCTGCATGCTCTGCAACACGTTGAGGAAGTCGTTCATGCCTGTAAGATGCCGCACATCCTGAAACACGGCCACCAGGAGAGTGGGGAATATGGCGATGGAGCGTGTCAGCAACACGCGAGCGAAGCGAGACCAGCGCAGGTTCAGGAAACCCTGCGAGAAATACCAGTTCTTACAGATGCACATTCCCAAATGCAATGGCATTACATGAACACATACAGAGGAATGAAGCTGAAACATGCAGATCTGTAGATGAACATACCTCCATCACAAACTGACCAGAGTAGGTTCCCGTCATAGTTGAACTCTGTCCAGCCGCAAGGATCCCAATCGCCCAAATATAGAGCGCAGCGGGGCCAAAGAAACAGCCCAGGACCACACCCTTCAATCACAGGAAGACAAAAGAAACACGTTCATTCATTCACAAACAGACAAACCTCACACGAATCATGTCAGTATTGGACTGAATATAAAATTGCATTGATTATTGTAATTAAAGTGGAACACACTAGAGGCAAAACATTTTTTTCATTCACTGATAAATTTTAGGCTGATTCCAAAATGTCTTATTTCAGACTACTGGAAAAAAATCATTCAAAAGACACATTTAAGTGAAATCTACAGACGCAAATATATAAAGTGCAAAGGTGAGTTTGAGTCAGAAATCTGCACTTCAGCAGCTTTACACACACCAAACTGTATTTATATGTAAATTGTTTAGATAGCATTCACTTGATTTATGCAACATTTTACTCCTTTACAGTGCGAGTAAATGTATTTGGTGAAAACAAGGTGAACTGTTTTCAGTCTGTTGACAGTATTTTCTGATTGTAATCAAAAGTCTCCTCTGTAAAAACCTTTAACTCTAATCAACAAAGTCAAGAAAATTAGTGAATATTTCATTTGAATATTTAAAAAAACTTGTCATATAAACATGTCTGTAATTCTTAAATATAAATCAATCAAATAAATACTGGGAAAGTATGGTTCTATCAATTAGTTTAATTGTTTTCTATTTTAGCTGTGTTGAGCTACTGAACACTTTTGACCCACAGGTGGCGCCATCAGCAAACTCCTCAGCTCATATCGGGTTATGAATATGCTGATTCTCAGGGTCTGTTCTCCTCGGATGCAGCAGACGAGAAGGGCAAGGTCATGAGATTGCGTAATTGTGCTTGTTTTATGTGTGCAATGAAAACGCACAAATTGTGCAACATCATTTTTGGCCACATGCAAAAGCTTTCTCCATCAGCCTTTTTTCCCTGTGCATAGTAAAATAAATCCGAGCTGTAGTTTGCCTTTTTTGCCAGGAGGTCAGGTAAATACTTTAACCAAGATTAGCATTTTGTTCTTCCTCATATTTCACATGTTTAATAAATATGAAATACTTTCCTCATATTTTCATAGTTTAATCAAACTTGAAGTGTCATTAAAATCTAATGTCCCCTCCAGATGTGACTTTTGGACACTAGTGAATTTATTGTGAAACGATTCCAACGATTGTTCCCGTCATACCCCTTTGTAGATGTCGACCTCCAGCGTCTGGTTGTTGGCTGGGAAGAGATCGGTGTGAGGACTTCCAGACGCATTACACTGCTGGCCCTGAAGGAAACACCCGAGAGTTCAGATGAACCGCACTCAAACACACCCATATAGAAGTCTTGAACAGGAGGCAGATATAAGACCTCACCACTTCCATGTTTGTCTTGCCATAAAAGGCCTCAGCAAAGACGGCCACCACAAAAACATTGATGAGGAAGGAGACGAAGAGCGCGATGGTGGACTCGATGAAGTAGTACTTGTTGGCCTCCTTCACCTCCTTCTTGTTTCCTCGATCGACATCTCGTGACTGAAGCAAAGATAAACACCAATCAGCCAAATATGTCAGATTAAACATCAGATGGATTCAGCGCAGGAGTTTTCATTGATTTATTCACCTAATTTACCACAATTATGAAGTAACTTACAGAAGTATGAAATGACAGTGTGTTTTTGTTTAATTGGATTGTCTTTGTAAAAAAAAAGACCCTTTTTAGAAAAAAACTTTCTGCTATAAAGCGTCTCTCAGTGTCTCATGCTTTTACTCGCGTCTGAAAAACTCGATTTACGATTCGATTTGATTTTTTTTTTAAATCAAGTAGAATTTCTACAACTCTCTGTGTTGAACAGATAATCACTCTTTTGTGTGTGTTAAACACAATCTACTTAATAAAACTTAGAGAAAAACAACAAATACAAAAAATATATGATCATAATCTACAACAAAAATGCTATTATAAACTAGATTAGTGGATAAATCAGCAGTAAAATTTAGTCTAGAAAAATCACGAGTGCACAATAATTGTATAAAATCTGAACATTTACAAATAAAACAAAAACATTTAGTGGGGAACAAATAAGAGACAACAAGTGTAACACTAAATCTGGTAAAACTTTACACATTGCTATTTGTATTGTACATTTATGAAAAACAAGACAACAAAAATCAAAAGGATCAATTATTATAAAGCCTAGTCTACTATAAAATTGAGACACGTTTTAAATGTATAGCACAGCTGTTTAATCGTTTAATTCAGATTTATGCAGAAATACAGAAAATGCTGTTTGAAAACTCTGAGATGGAGTTTAGCTTGTCAGGTCACGGACATCTGCTAACTGTGCACGGATTCTTGCCCGTCTGTCAGCTAACGGCACGTTTTATGAAGCATGCCTTTTAAACCAGGTTTGTGGGTCTAAGTCTAAGTCTAACTCTGATCAGGTCTGGTGCAGTTCACCGACCTTAACGAGAGCAGAATGCAGATAGACGTTGTGAGGCATTATTACGGCTCCCACGATCCCGACGGCCTGCTTGAGCTGCTCGGCTCCACAGCCGCTGCAATACGGCAGAAACATGCCCTTCAGAACCTCCGCCTGGTCCGGAGCCACTCGCACATACTGCAAACACACACACACACACACACATGCTGAAACACTGCAGAGAGGCGTCTTCCTCACAGAGCCAGTCTACAGAGAACGAGCTTTACTGAACCTCGTAGCCGAAGCTGATAGCCATGATGGTGATGAGGAACCCAAAGAAAGCCTCCAGCTTCCTCAGACCTGACCAAAACAAACCAGACATGCTCATCAGATGGAGGTACGAGTCGCTCTCTTCACTCTCACTCTTTTCGGTGCTGACCTACCGTACTTGTCCAGAAACAGGAACACAAACGTGTCGATGATGGTTATCAGCACTCCGGCCCACAGAGGAATCCTGCAGAAGAACAAACACCAGCTTCCTCAAGATCAACTTCAATAAACTCAAACAGCTAATATTAAAAAAATGTAATTCAGTAATTCAAGGGCTCATTATTTATCAGATTTACAACTTCATTGTTGTAAACTTCATATTTTGGATGAAATCTGTCTGTTTTGAGCTAAAAATGTATCAGCAATGCTGCCGCTTCCTATCCTTGTTTTGGGTACGCCCACCACTGATTCCACACAACAACAACAACAACAACAACACACCTGCGGCTCGTCACATTCGCCACTGGCGAAGCCAATAAACGGGCTTGGTGGTCGGAAACGGAGACGACGGTAAATGTGGCCACAAACTGGGTGGGAAGAATCTAGAGGATACGTGTTCCTCAATAGCTGATATTTCGGGCTCGTTGTTCATTGCACTTTGGCATTTCTCAAATAAAGCAACAATTGCCAAAGTAAAAATGTTTTTATTCCTGACTTTTTTGGAGTAAAACAGTGATTTCACTGTTACCACTTTATCTGTGTGTAATGTAGTAGCTCAACGTTTTTTGCTGATTAAATTTTAAACCATTCCTTTATTACTGTGATTACTGGTGAAAATAGCCAATGTGCTGAAATTTTAGAAGAGCATCAATTCATGAAAAATATAACTTGAAATATGGGGATAAAATGTTTCTGCCCAACGCAACAGTGAAGTAGAATTTGGCAGCACGATCTCCATCAATGAGAAAGTATAGTTTATTGTGGAAAGGTTAAAGGAACACTCCGACTTTTTGGGTCTTTAGCCTATTCACCTTACCCCCCAGAGTTAGATAAGTCCATACATACCTTTTTCATCTCCGTGCGTGCTATAAGTCTGTTTGACGCACCCACCGCTAGCCTAGCTTAGCACAAAGACTGGATGTGACTGGTTGCAGCTTTCATAATAATCCAAATGAGTGGCAAAATAACGCAAACGTTTTCCTATTTACATGTTGTGGTTTGTATAGTCACATAATGTACAAATAACAAAGTCAAATGAGACACAGACATCTTTTAACCGTATAACACCTGGGAACTATTCTCTGAAGGCGAAGCACTGCTACTTTGACGGCGTAATAACCGCATCACCGGAGACACGCCGTGGTGAGGAGCGGATCGAGTTCGTCAGTGTTTGGGTAACAGAGTCAGCAATTTATAAATAGTAAAAGCGTAGTTTAGAGTCATGGGTTTTCGCTCTATTGTAAATAGCTGCGACAGTAAACAGGGGAGGTAATACCATGTTTCACAGAATTCCAACTAAAAACGCTGACTGGATGAAGAAATGGCTAACTTACTCTGGATATTTATCCAAACACACCTAAGATTATCAAGGGACATTATGTTTGCTCGGTACATTTCAATGAGGACGACTATTTTGAAAAAATGGAATTTGCCACACGGACCATAATGTGCTGAAGGATACGGCCATCCCATCGATAGCACAGACAGGACAAGTGGATCACCTGCGGCTGAGGTAAGTGTTTTTAGATGACCTGTAACAGTGCCTTTAGCCAGATCTAATGTAACGTTAGTGACACTATTATATGATTAGGGTATGAATATGTTTTTATCTTGATGCGGTGCGGACGCGCTTGGGGAAAAAACGAGCGCGTTCACCGCGTTGAACTTGCACCCTGCGCGCGGCGGCGCCTAGTAGCCTAAATTTGAAATAACCATGGAAATAACGAACTTGAGCGTGCAAAAGGGTACGATAGGCTGTGAGTTCATTGTGCAAGAACAATTTGTGCTATTACTTTCCCCTTATTCTATCCTATAGTAATGCAATACTGTATATTATATAGGCTACTGTTGAATACATTTGGTTCAGCTAATAAATTGCATTTAAAATATATTGATTCCTGTAATAATAATTATTTATTCATGTGATATTTATAAATCTGGGTGCGTTTTTGGTTGGAAATCAATGAAACATGGTACTGTATTACCTGGTCTCCCCTGTTTATTGTCACAGCTCATACAATAAAGCAAACACCCATGATAAACTATGCTTTTCTATCTAACGTTAGTAATTGCTGCCTCTTTATTCCAACGCTGAGCGAAGCGAACTCTCTGCTCCTCGTCACGGTGCGTCTCAGGTGATTGTTATCACTCTGCCCAAGTAGCAGTGCTTCGCCTTCAGAAAATATAGTATTTATACGGTTAAAAGATGTCTGTGTCTCATATGGCCTTGATATTTGCACACTCTGTGACTATACAAACCACAACATGTAAATAGGAAAACGTTTGCGTTATTTTGCCACTCATTTGGATTAGTATGAAAGCTGCAACCAGTCACATCCAGTCGTTGTGCTAAGCTAGGCTAGCGGTGGGTGCGTCAAACAGACTTATAGCACGCACGGAGATGAAAAAGGTATGTATGGACTTATCTAACTCTGGGGGGTAAGGTGAATAGGCTAAAGACCCAAAAAGTCAGAGTGTTCCTTTAAGGTTAACTGTTGTTTTATGAATTGCAACAATTGCTACAACCAGTCAAACGAAAGCCCATTTCCAATACCAAATAATTTGTTGAAGACTACTACTTTTTTCTACTAAAATTGACTAAAACTTCACTATAACCGTTTTGCATTTTCATTGACTAAAACTATTAAGTTCATAAGCGACAAAAACGTGACTACGTGACCTCCTACACGCTGACCTCCTACAGGCTGACCTCCTCCAGGCTGACCCTACACGCACTCAGAGGAACCGTTTTTGATCATGATAATGTACCTGCCGACCGACAGCAGATTGAAAGCGATGGCGCAGCCGATGACCTCTTGCATGTCAGAGCCGATGATGGCCAACTCCACCATCAGCCACAGGATGATCCGAGGCACCTGCACAGCGAAGGAAACACTTCAGCACATGAACAGGAAACACTAAAGTACAGAAAACACTTATCTACCGTGGGATGAACGTATCATGGGATAAATTTACCGCGGGATGAACGTTTTGCGGGATAAACGTACCATGGGATGAACTTATCGTGGGATGAACGTACCGCAGAATGAACGTATTCCGGGACGATCGTATCGCGGGATTAACGTACCACGGGATGAACTTACCCCGGGATGAACGTACCATGGGATAACCATACCGCGGGATGATCGCATTCCGGGATTAACGTACCGCGGGATGAAAATGCAGCAGGATTAACGTACTGTGGGATGAACGGTTCTGCGGGATGAACGTACCAAGGGACAAACGTACCATGGTATAAAGTGCCGTGGGATGAACGTACCGTGGGATAAACGTAACGTGGGATGAACGTACCAAGAGACAAACGTACTACAGGATAAACGTACTGCGTGATAAACGTACCATGGGATAAACGTGCCGCAGGATGAACGTACCGTGGGATAGTGGCGGTTGCAGACCTCGGCAAGATGCATCCCGGTGACGACCCCGAGCCGAGCAGCCAAACGCTGCAGCAGGAGCCCGATGATGGTGGAGCCCAGGAGCACCCAGAGCAGCTGCAGGACACACACAGATTAAAACAGGTCACACACACGTCACACGTTATTAACAGGTGTAGATGTACCCTTACACACCTTAAACCCTGCTTTAGCCCCGGACTGCAGGTCCGACTCGATGTTCCCCGGGTCCAGATAGGCGATGCTCATCAGGAAACCCGGGCCAGTGAAAGCCCACAGTTTCCGAAAGCTGAACATCTACAGAGAGGAAGAGCAGCGAGAGTCAACACAGCGATGCATTTCACATTCTTCTCGAGCTGTACACGTCATGTGACTGCAGGGAAAGGTGGGTATGACGAGACTAGCTTCCTAACACTATTATTACACAATATTGCATAAAAAACACGGGATGGAAATGCTAAGATGTACAATAAAAAAATGTAAGCACTTAATTGAGGCAGATCATTTTTATCCAATAAGCAGACATGCACATGAACGACGATGGAAAGACATTTAATAAATAAAGCCCTCAAACCCTCATGTGACTTTGCCTCAGTAGAGCCTGTGATTGGATAACTGGAGTAACCAGTGGACCAATGGCATCGCAGTATCTCAAATGGCCGCAGTCAAAGTGTGTGATCTGAATGACTGGGTTTAATTCCGTCCAGAAGCATCTCTCACACACACACACACACACACACACACACACACACACACACACGAGTGTGTTTCCGAACACCAGCATCCGAACGCAAGAGAACATGACAGGGTTTACTGTGTTTCGTCTGACGCTCTGAGACACACATTTATGATGGAGGGAAAAACAGCCATATTGAAGAAACTTAGTTTATTACTGATATTTTGAGTCGATTTCACAGGAAGTGAAGATCTTGTTCTCTTGAACACATGGAATGGAAATGATGCTTTATTCACAAATGTTATGTGCATTATCTAGTTTTTTGCAGAAGCTAACTTCACAGCTTTGGATGGAAACACAAGCGTGTGTACAAGCGCTAGACTTCCTGTGCTCTGCTTTCACTTCTCCACTATCCTGGTCCAGGCCAGAAGGTCAAAGGTCACTGTTGCTCAAGCACATGCTGATAGGTCAGATCCGTATCGCCCTCAAGAACACATGACGAGTGAACAGTTACGCTGTCTTCACTGCTTCCCTTTTGTCTTTATTTCTGTTCCTCTTGTTTGAGCTTGAAGAAATCAAGATTTGTGATGTTTTTAGACTAATTCATGAGGAAGAATGTAATACTTATAAACATCATTCATAATCTGACAAAGCACTGTGTTCTTTCCCATGACCCTTCACACACTCGAGACTGATAATACGAGATCTCTCACTCTCACGAACCTTCACTGCCACAGGCTGACAATATACTGACATGGACCAGTCTCAGCTTCAGATCCTGTCCGATTCATCAGGAAATTCAGTCAGTAAATGTGTGTTTGTGTGTTTAATGTGCGTGTCGGATGAACCGATCATCTCTTCCTCTTAACTACCAATTACAGCAGCAAAAAAACATCAATGAACATCAGAAGGAAAGTTGAAAGATACAGAACAACTTCCTGAAATCCATCATTCAGTGTTTCAACCATCAACAAAACAGCTGGAGAACAATAAAGTCACATTATCCTCAGAAAAGCCGTAACTATATATCCGTGACTATAAACTCTAGAGAGGAGCGTTCTCATAAATGTATGCGATTACATGATCTAATGCATATTTGATTAAATCCATCAAGTTATTACATCCATCATTTAATTGGAGTTAAAAAGAGGCACCTTTTATGCCCCTTTTCACAAAATGTAAAATAAGACTCTGATGTCCCCAGAGTGTGTATGTGAAGTTTTAGCTCAAAATACACAACAGATAATTTTATATAGCATGTTTAAATTGTGACTTTTCGTGTGTCCCTTTAAATGCAAATAAGATGCTAATGCCGGCACAGGGGGCGGAGCTTCACAAGCTTGCGACTTCACCGAATGATCATATCAAAACAGAAAATCTCAGTAGCGGTGTTCATTTCGACCAGGAGTCTAAAGCACGCGCAGCGTCATCACGCATCTGTGTTTAAAAACTAAGCTCAGACTCGATTCTGAAATTCTCTGAATCGATTCAGGATCGTTGGGGAGAGAATAAATAACACAATATCACATACAATAAAAATAAACTGTTCTTTTCTGAACGCCAGACCGCGTAGCGTGGCAAGTTGATGCTTGATCTTGCAGACTGCTTTTCTCCCGCGCGTCACGTGACCAGTGTAATCGCAGCTCTTGCAATTACAAAATCGCTTTTCATCATATCGCAATTTTATCGCAAATGCAATTAATCGTTCAGCCCTAGTTATTAACCTGTCCTGTGATGTATGTTGGTTGTCTTTACATCATAATACTATTTCATATAATCTAGACATGGAATGAATAACATTCAATACAAAATGAACATGTCTCGTATATTGAAATAAAGTTAAGTGATAAAATATTTGCTTTGTTGTGCATAAGAATCCCACCATGCATTTAGTCATATTACAAAATAATTTATTGAAGCATCCAGACACTTCACCACGTGAGCAAGCAGCAGGCTCCTGATTGGTTAACGCGGCGCAAATTGACGCCAAAGTTCAGATTTTTCAACTCGGGCGGCAGACGCGAATGAACGCACCATTAGGGTCTATACGATAAAAGCCATTTTATCTAAAACTACCCGGTTCGGGTCGGGTCTCGGTGTGGGATCTCCTCTACCTTCGCTCGGTCATCCTCCGGGATGGGGACCTTCTCCTCGAAGTATGTGGAGATCGCCTGATCCTGCGGGAGAGGAGACACGGGACTGTAGAGGTCCGGCTCCTGCAGGCTCTCTGAAACACACACACACACACACACACCAGAGAGAGAGGGATAAACGGGTCAGAATGACTGAACCTTGAGATGTGGCAGAAACTCTCACGCTTCAGTCACATGACCTTCAACACATAAACTCAAGTTAAAACTCAAACATCCTGCAGTTAAAGATCCTCTTGATTATCCACACGCATTTATGAGCGCGAGATATGATCACATCTCCTGTAATATAATCTCTCGTTTCCTTCCACTGACATCATCAAACCCAAAACTGCCCAGAAAGCAAATAACATTTTGGTGCTGGTGTTAACTCATGACAAGAGACGTACATTACGTAATCAGATTACTTGGTTAATGTAAGAATAATGCACATGCATTTATACATCACTATTTGAGTTCTTTTTAAAGTAACACACGTTACTTTTAGTTAATTTGCCTAAACAATAAGTCAAGTCACGTCAAATATATTTATATAGCGCTTTTCACAATACAGATTGTATCAAAGCAGCTTCACAATATCAATCAAGACAACTTAACAGTGTTTGTTTATTCATGAAAAAAGACAATCAAGTTTGGTAGAGCTGATCAATGATGGGTCGTTTAATTTGAGTATCCCCAACTGAGCAAGCCAAAGGCACCAGTGGCAACCGAAAAACTCCATCAAGTGACCCGACGGTGTCCGAAACCGCATTAGATGACCTGATGGAGAAAAAAAACCTTGGGAGACCCCAGGCTCAGTCGGGGCCAGCTCTCCTCTGGCGGTTATGAACTAGAGGCCAAATTTACAGTAACTGTAAGATAAAAAATGTATATGAATGCCAGGCTAAATAAATGCGTGTTTAGTCTAGTTTTAAACTGGGAGAGCGAGTCTGAGCAATCACAATATCAGGAAGGCTATTCCAGAGCTTCGGGGCTAAATGTGAAAATGCCCTCCCTCCTTTGGTGGATCTGGATATCCTAGGAATGACCAGAAGCCTTGAATTCAGTGATCTTAAAGAGCGCGGTGGGTTGTAGGGCGATAGAAGATCTGTTAAATAGACTGAAGCTAAACCATTTAGAGCTTTACAAGTCAAAAGCAATACCTTGTAATTGATATGGAACTTTATAGGTAACCAATGAAGCGATGATCGAATCGGTGTTATATGATCATATTTTCTTGATCCAGTAAGAACTCTAGCAGCTGCATTTTGGACTAACTGTAGCTTGTTTATTGAGGATGCAGGACAACCGGCTAATAAAGCATTACAGTAATCTAGCTTAGCAATGTTTCTAAGGTGGAAAAAGGCCGTAAAAAAATAAAGAGTTTTTACACTGTAATATAACCCGTAATATTCAGAGATTTTTAGTGCAGCAACTATCGTGCTAGAGCTCATGATGAGATGATAATATTCTGTAAGTATGATTCTGAAAGGTGTATGTTTTATAGGCTGCATTAAACACTTATGAAAAAAACACCTTCAAGGCCTGGAAGAGATTGAAAACATAACTAAAAACATTTCTTCACTTTCCATTAATTAAATGCAACTAGTTGCTTTTTTAGGGAGTCACCATTATTGTAATGCATTACTTTAAAAAGTAAGTTTCCAAATGCTGTGTAGAGAGCGGAAACGGCAGAACAAACCGAGTCACTGAGTTCAGAAGAGAATATGACTCTCCATAAACCTGGACATCACGAGAGTCACGTTCATCATAAACACGAGTAAACTACCCTGATGATTAATGACTCACTCTCAGACAGCATTCATAAAACTCACTCACACACACAGCAATAATACATCCACCAGTCACACACTCTTCTCACAGACACTGGCCTGTTTCTCTGTTGATCTGATGGACGTACAGAGTCAGCATTTTTTAAAGGATGGCTCACTTTGAAATTAATCCAAGATGTAGGTGTCTTTGTTTCCAGAGTATTTTCAATTTTGAGATTTTTCAGTCAAACCGTTGTTGTCTATCAGTCATACACTGGAGGCTAAGGGGGTCCACCAAAGAGCAGCACAGAGAAGTCCAAATTAAACATGATTTAATGACTCGTTAATGTAAGTACACATTGATGGCCTAAGACACGAAACGAGCGGTTTGTGTGAGAAAACCAACAATATTTATATAGTTTTACCTCGTGTAATCACAGTGATCTGAATCAGTTGTTCAATGTCCAACTGAACCGAACTGAATCAGTTCAATGTTACGCCGGAAGTGATCGCTCGCGTGTGACGTCACTCAATATTTACACGGAGATTTCGGAAGTTTTACCTTTTACTAAACATATTTAGATATACCGAAATCATCTTCCATTGCGGTTTCCCGTATATCTAAATATGTTTAGTGAAAGGTAAAACTTCCCAAATCTCTGTATAAACAAAGAGTGACGTCGATCACTTCCAGACCGAAGCGCCCGTGCCGTCAGATCATTTTGTCATGGCTGTGATTACAAGAGTTGAAAACGATATAAATACTGTTGGTTTTCTCACACAAACCGCTCGTTTCGTGTCTTAGGCCATCAGTGTGTACTTTTACGAGTCATTAAATCATGTTTAATTTGGACTTCTCTTTGGTGGACCCCCTTAGCCTCCAGTGTATGACTGACAGACAACAACGGTTTGACTGAAAAATCTCAAAATTGAAAATACTGTGGAAACAAAGACACCTACATCTTGGATGCCCTTGAGGGAAGATAAAACATATCAAACATTAATTTCAAAGTGAACAATCCCTATAAAACAGTTTATATATTCTATATATAACAACATCAGATTAACTGGTCAACGCTGGTTTTTCTGTGGTTTTGAATCATTGAGCGGCACTGAATCTCATTCAGGAGACACACGCGTGTGCTGGCGGTCGCGTGTGTCAGGAGACGTGTGTGTGCCAGGAAACATGCGTGTGCTGACTGTCACGTGTGTCAGGAGACAGGATGTGATGCGTGTCTCACCTTCCAGCACGTCCCCATCCTGCTCAGTCTTCATGAGCTCCAGGAGTGTGTGTGTCAGACTGAAGGGCAGAAAACACACACGGGTCACACACAGACAACAATTCTACTGCAGAAATGAACTGTATAATAATAATAAAAATAATAACGAGATGTGTTGCACATAACACAGACTACGCTTCAGTTAAACCACAGATACGGTTCAGCATTCTCCATTAAATTCTTAATTATCTAACCAAAAAAATACTTGAGTGAAGCCATGCACATATAATTGTACTGAAGTATTTAAAAGCAAACACTTTTCATAGTTTTTATTTAAAATAAGATTAATAATTTTAAGATTTTCATTTTCTTAATTATTGAGAAAAGATGATGTATGATATATTTAAAAATATTTGTCCACATAAAATTGTAAAAATCCAACAGAACTCAAATCAAGCACAGACTCCAGTGAAGTATAACAGTATTATTACTCAAATGCTTCACAAACGCTGCGTTAATAACCCACTAACATCAAACTTGGGAAATAAAAACAGTAATTATTGCATTTGTTATGTATGACGTTTGTGTGTTTTACGGGAAACTCCTGCACAGTATAACACACACGAACACGACTGAGCCCAAAATCCTTTAAGCCCACAGGAGAAGCATTTCCCACCAGGATTATAGGAGTGACTGGAGCTCCTGTGGGAGAACTGGGAACGTCCTCAGGTGTCCACACGCTCCTACAGTACCGCTAATAGAGCATCTGTTTAACGGGATCTGGACTTTAATAATGTTTCTTCCTTCAACATTTTAGTTGGATGTTTGTGAAATTTTTTTAAATGTTGCTATTGGGATTTATAAGTAACGATCACATGTTTGAAGAATGGAATGTGTCCTTGACGTTCGTTCACAGAAACAAGAAAAAATATTTTCAAATATTTTCTTTCAAACTGACACTTTGAACGTTCAGAGAATATTCAGAAACAATGTATGCATAACTTAACTGGAATATTAGCAAAACATTCGTTGAACATCTTTCAGTTCAAAGGGAACACACACAATTAGACCACACACACACACACACACACTCAGAGTATGTGTATGTGAGTGTGCGTGCGTGTGTGTGTGTGTGTAAGAGAGAGAGAGAGAGAGAGAGAGAGAGAGAGCTGGCTGGGTGTGTCTGTGCCGTTGGGTTTATCACAGAACTCTCTCGCTGCTCTTCACAGATTAAACAGAGAGAGAGAGAGAGAGAGAGAGAGAGAGAGAGAGAGAGAGAGAGAGAGTGGGTGGGTGAGTCTGAAGCCCCTTTTCCACCAAAGCATTTTGAGAGCCGGTTCGGAGCCGGTGCCTGCGCGCGAACCAGATCGTTGTGTTTCGACAGCCAAAGAACCGGTTCTCGGGCCGGGAAAACTGGTTCCAAAGCGGCACCAACTCTTTGCTGGACTAAAACCGTTCTTTTACCCCGTCATGCTTACGTCGGGGGCTGGGGCGGGTTTATGTGCTCTAAACATCTTTTCTGACCATAATAAAGGATCACAAAGCCGAGAGAAACATTTGCAGAAACACGATGGAGTCCGCCTTTGTAATTGTTATGCTTGAAGTTAAAGGAGTAGTTCACTTTTGAAAAAACTTTTGTTGATAATTTACTCACCCCCATGATGTCATCCAAGATGTCCATGTCTTTCTTTCCTCAGTCGAAAAGAAATTTAGGTTTTTGATGAAAACATTCCAGGATTTTTCTCCATATAATGGACTTCAATGGGAACCGGATGGTTCAGGTCCAAACGACAGTTAATAACAGTTTCAGATGCAGCTTCAAATGTCTTTAAACGACACCAGACGATGAATAAGGGTCTTATCATGCGAAACGATCGCTTATTTCAAAACTTATTCCAAAACTGTAACTTTTCTAAGGACAAATGCTAGCCTTGCTCTATTCTGTGAGGCGCGTTTGTAACGTCACGTAATACGTAATTACGTTCAAAAGGTCACGGGCAACGTAGCCGGAAGTACAGAGTCAGTGTTTACAAGTTGAACGCATAGGTTGAACGTATAAACCAACTCAAACGCCGTTTACAAAAAAGGAATTAAAAGGTAAAACAACGATGTCGGACGATTTTGATTCTGTACTTCCGGCTACGTCGCCCGTGACCTTTTGAACGTAATTACGTATTACGTGACGTTACAAACGCGCCTCACAGAATAGAGCAAGGCTAGCATTTGTCCTTAGAAAAGTTACATTTTTGAAATAAGTTTTGAAATAACCGCTCGTTTCGCATGATAAGACCCTTATTCATCGTCTGGTGTCGTTTAAAGACATTTGAAGCTGCATCTGAAACTGTTAATTACTGTCTTTTGGAACTTGAACCGTTTGGTCCCCATTGAAGTCCATTATATGGAGAAAATCCTGGAATGTTTTCATCAAAAACCTAAATTTCTTTTCGACTGAAGAAAGAAAGACATGGACATCTCGGATGACACGGGGGCGAGTAAATTATCAGCTAAAGTTTTTTCAAAAGTGAACTACTCCTTTAACGCAAGCGTTTCCATTTTTGTAATTTTTTTATTGAAGACATTATAAGCAAAGAAGAAAAGTCACAATATAGAACAAATAAATGGAAAGAAAAAAAGACACAAGACAGGGGTACATAACTAATCCAAAAAAAGTACATATCCAAACGAAAAGATTAAAAGACTTACATATTTCAATTGTTTTAAAGCTTTCTTGGTATACGAGTTAGAGATAATCCCAAAGTAATGTTGTATTTGCAAGCGTTTCTAGCTAAGGCGTATGGCGACGTGCACAGTGACGTAACGGCGTCGTTCCCTCGGCGCTCTAGACAGTGGGAAAACAAACAGCTTCTGAAGCGGCTCGCGAGTTAAACCAACCCAACCAACTTTAACCAGCAGCACCAGTTCCCAACCTGTTCTTCTTTGGTGGAAAAGGGGTATGAGTAAACAGTGTACTTACAGCCTAACCCAAGAGCAGATCACTGGTCAGATGAAGAACAGCACAGAGCGCCACACGGAGTGATGTCATTCAGTGAAGTGAAGGATTCTGGTCTGGAAACAGAGGCAGCACTCGAGACCGCGGCGGTGTAATCTGTGAAGAGCAGCGAGAGAGTTTGGGGTAAACCCAGTGGTGCGCACACACACACTCACTCACACACACACACTCTCTCTCTCTCTCTCACACACACACACACACACACACACACACACAGAGAGAGAGTGTCTGTGTGTGTGTGTGAGTGAGAGAGAGAGAGAGAGAGAGGTTCAAAAATGCTTTAATTTCTACATTTCAAAAATCATACATTCATATACTCATTCTAAAAATAGAACATGTACAAAACCCACAGATATTAAAATAATAATAATCAAAAATTCAGAACCATCACATCATCATAAATAGTACATAAAACATCATTAATACACCATATCTCAATAAAACTCCTGACATCATTCACAATATGATAATAGGCGTACTCCACTTTTAGCCTCCCTTCCACTAATTTCCTAAACATCACTTCCGGATCCGTAGATGCCAACTGTAAGCCTTTGTTCTTCCTGGTCTTCCACACTGCCAATTTTGCAGTCCCAATAATATAATTCAATAAACAAACTTTCTTCCTCATCAAAAAACTATATTTTAACCCTCCAATAAACACTTTATCTGAAAAATCTTGATCAAATTTCCTGAACCATTCTTTAAGAAGATTAAAAAGACTCTGTAGTCTTTCACATTTTAAAAACAAATGTTCCAAGTCTTCCTGTTCACCACAAAACCTACATTCCCCACCCACAGCTGGATTCAAGTGTGCCACATGTCTGTCTGTAGCTATTGCCCTGTGAATAATCCTCCATTGCAGATCAGCAGTTCGCTTCTCCACTGGAGGTTTATACAGTGCTCTCCATCTGTCCCTTACGAGGAACTCTTTTGTCAACAGTCCTGGCCACCCAGAGGCTTTCACTCTCCTGAGCGATTCCTGATGTAGGACCTTCACCGTGATGTAATAAATGGCCTTCTTTGATGTAGACTCGAACAGTTCTATTTGAGGAAATTCAAAAAACAAGATTGAACCAGCCTCCTCACCTTCCAGATCCTCCTTACTTGCGGGAGCTATTTTTATCTTCGGAAATTCTTTTTCATCAGTTTCCTTCCTTGCAATGATCTCTCTGTAGCTACTTGGTATTGCATTGAAAATTTCCTCCATCAGTTTTTCTGTAAGTCTTAGTGAACGTAATCCTGTCACCTCTCTGATGGTCTCAGCTGATCTCCATCCATTCCTGTCCAAGAGATGTCCCAGTTTTACAACGTTGTTCCTCAGTAAGCTCATTCGTATACTCGCAGAAGATAACATCCTTGTCTGGATCATTGGGTTAAACAGCAAGGGTTCTTCAGTGACCCATTGTCCTTGAGGATCAATCTCCCGTTCTACTTTAAAAACAGTTCTCCAGACCTTCAACATAGACTTATAAAATGGTGTAAGCTCAGACAAGCTCACCTCCTCCAGTTTTATTAGGAATAGATGTTTATCCAATCCCAGTCCTCCTGCTCTCTGTAGCAAAGCACAAGCAGTTTGGGCCCAAGTCAAGTCCTTATGATAGAGGAGTCTCTGTGCAGCTTGTATCCTGAATGCACTGATACGACTCCTCACATCCACCAACCCCTGGCCACCTTCCTGGACAGGTAAGTACAGCGCAGCTGCCCGGATCCAGTGCTGTCCACTCCAGAAGAAGTCCACCAAAGCTCTTTGTACACGGCAGATCAGTTCATCAGGTGGCTCCATGACAATAAACCTGTGCCACAGTGTAGAGGCAGTTAGGTTATTAATAACCAAAACTCGCCCTCTATATGATAACTGTGGTAATAGCCATTTCCATTTAGACAATCGGGCGAGCACTTTCTCCAGCATTCCCTCCCAATTCTTCATCTGGAACTGACTATTCCCTAAGTATACACCTAAGACCTTCAGCCCTTCCCTACCCCATTTCAACCCACCAGGAAGCTGCGGAAGTCTTTTACCCATCCACTGACCAATAATAAAACCCTCACTTTTCCCCCAGTTTAACCTAGCTGAGGATGCCTTCTCGTATTGCTCAATACTCTTAGTTAAAACTGCAACATCATCCTGGCCTGTAATGAAAACAGTAACGTCATCAGCATAAGCCGATACGGACACCCTAGAACTTATGTCTCCATTTGGAATTAAGACCCCATTGAGATTTCTCCTTAGCTTACACAAAAGAGGTTCAATGACAAGGCTATATAACTGTCCTGAAAGTGGACAGCCTTGCCTAATTCCCCGAGAAACAGGTATTGGCGCACTTAAACCACCACCAGCCTTCACAAGAACAAAAGCATTGGAATAACACAACTGAATATATGAAATAAAAATATCACCAAAGCCAAAATGCTGTAAAACATTATATAAATAGGCATGGTCAACTCTATCAAATGCTTTCTCTTGATCCAGAGAAAGAACACCAAACTCATAATTACTCAGCTGACCTATTTCAATAACATCACGCAATAAGGATATATTGTCCATTATAGATCTCTCAGGAATACAGTATGTCTGATCCTTCTGCACCAATTGACCCAGATAACACTTTAATCTATTAGCCAAACATTTTGAGAATATTTTGTAGTCAACACACAATAATGACACTGGTCTCCAATTTTTTAGAAGTCCCAGATCTCCTTTTTTTGGAAGTAGTGAAAGAACTGCCCGACTACAACTTATGGGAAGTTTCCCACTTTGACAGCATTCAGACAGTACCTCATAAAAGTCTTCTCCTAAAATACTACAAAAACGTTGATAAAATTCAGCAGTTAATCCATCAATTCCTGGGGATCTACCCGTGGACAACTGCTGCATTGCCTCTGTAAGCTCTTGAAAAGTAATGTTATTATCCAGAGTCTTTTTCTGTTCACTCTCAATCTTCGGTAGATCATTAATTATATCCTCAGCACTTTCATGGTTACAGTTTTCAGAAGCATATAATTGTGAATAGAAATCCACCGACATCTTCCTTATTTCCACAGGATCTGTTGTTATAGAACCATCATGACGACGAAGATGATACATTTGCTGCTGTGTTGTATTTTCCTTTCCAAGATTGAAAAAAAATGTGCTAGGGGTATCCATGTCTTTAATAGAGCAAAATCTTGCCCTTATTAGCGCTTTCTTTACTTGCTCTTGTAGAAAAGTTCCAAGTTCTTTATTTTTCTTTCGTAGAGCATCATCATGCACAAGTTCATTATTATTAAAAATTCCTTGTTCTAAAAGTTCAATGTCTCTTTGTAATCTTTTCACAGTTGCCTTCACAACTGATCCAACATGGGATGAATAATTCTGACAAAATATTCTTATGTTCACTTTTCCAACATCCCACCACTGACTGAGATTCTCAAACGAATCTTTCTTCATTTTCCAATTTTTCCAGAAAAAAATAAATGAGTCACAAAAATTAATGTCCTGTAGCAATTTAGCATTAAAATGCCAGTAATAACTCGGTTTTGACATATTTTTTAAAATAAAATCAAAAATAACCATGTGATGGTCTGAAAAACCGTTAGGCAAAATAGAAGCATTCGTCACCCGATTATTCCATACTTTGCCCAAATAAAACCTATCTAATCGTGCACCACTGACTCTATTATCATTTACTTTAAGCCAAGTATATTGTCTAGATCTTTTATTAATCATTCTCCACAGATCTAATAATTCGAATTCATGCAATACATTTACCAACATCCTACTTGATTGAGTATGTGGCTCTTCACCATTTCTATCAATTGTAAAGTCCGTGGTGCAATTCCAATCTCCTCCCACAACAATACACACATTACTATCAATTGTCTTAATTAACCTTGTCATTTTCATAAAAAAATCAATCCTCTCAGATCCATTATTTGGTGCATAAACATTCATTAGCACAAATACCATTCCTCCAACCTCAACCTTAGTTAACAACAGTCTACCTTTTATGACCTCATCCACAGCTAAAATATTAACATTGATATTTTTCGAAAATAAAATAGCTACCCCTGCGCTATTATTTGTCCCATGACTTAAAGTGAGCTAGAGAGAGAGAGAGAGAGAGAGAGAGAGAGAGAGAGAGAGAGAGAGAGAGAGAGAGAGAGAGAGAGAGAGAGTGTGTGTGTGTGTGTGTGTGTGTGTGGAGCATAATCAAGAGCAAACGCTGTTTCCTTATTCATTATTATTATTATTAATGAATCCTCCACAGATTGATGTGTTCATGTTTCCAATTCTCCAAACACCAGAGCTGCTGATCCCGAGAGGACCTGATTGAGCACAGGAGTGACTGGCCTGATGGGATCGGGATCTGCTCACTCACTCTCACACACACACACACACACACACACACGTGTCAAACAGCAATATCACGGACTCCGGTCTCGGCGAGGGTCTCAGCTCTCTCTCTCTCTCTCTCTCTCTCTCTCTGTATATGTGTGTGTGTGTGTGTGTGTGTGTGAGTGAGTGAGTGTGTGAAACAAGTCATGCGCTTCCATAATCCATACACGCACTATAGACACCGATACAGTAATTTCATTAGTAACCACACACTTTCCTAAGAGGCCACAGGGTGAACAGCAGCTGAGTAATGTTCCCGGACAGGCCGCACTTGTTTCCTTCAGGGTTATGAAAGTTTCCAGCATCAACTGTTATAACTACAGTAAACACGTCACTGGAGAAACTGCATCGCCACATAACAACCTTCCTCTTATTACAGCTCTATTCTCCATATCTATATCTTCATTGCCTCGGCTTATCCTTTCGCGCATGTCAATTGGTAAATAGGTCCTCCTTACAAACTTTGCTTAGATTTAATTACCAATTTTCACCCAATCAAGCAAAACTTCAGGTAAACCTGCGCTGTTCACTGCATCGGTATCCGCGATATTCCCTCCCTCGCGCTGATCTGATGACCACAAACTAAACATCATGTCTTCATCGACGTGACACTGAATCAATACATTTACTCACAGTAATGACGGTAGTCCCGATTCTACAGATGAAGATGAAGATGAAGAAGACCCGCGCAGCCTGAGGGGATGAGCGGACGCGAAGGTGACAGCGAGTGACGACAGCAGCGATACATTTCAGAATAAGAGTCCAGAAACCACGTGGGGTCACGTGTCAGTTCTTCTGCTCTTCCCAATAAAGATGATTATTTATGTTAAAGTCACCATAATATCAAATTTGCCAGTTCGTATTTTATGAAATAGTGCACTGCCACTACGTATTATAAATTATTTATCCATACACATAATTATTTTTTTTCTTTTATTTTAATGTTCTTTAGTAAACTACCATCAGCATGAAATCAAGAAACGTCACGGGAGCCGAACTTCACCTGTTGTTAGCATTCCATTAACTCCCATTCATTTTGGCATCACCTTGGCAGCGAATAACTTTACAGCTCAGGCGTCCAAAGACTTAATTTGTCCATTATTTATTTCTAAAGAAACATGACAATGTATACAAGGCTACGTTACTTTGTATCTTACGTTACGGCCCCGTAGAAGCCGTTTTTGTAAAAAAAAAAAAAAAAAAAAAAAAAAAAAAAAAAAAAAGGCTAACGATTGTCAAAATCACATAGATATCATATAGACTAGATCCCCTATTGGCCGCTGGAAACCGAGAAATCCGGCCGCCATCTTGAACCGGTCGAATTCCTAGTTTCGTTGCGTGGCAGCACAGAAGCATAGCACAGAAGTCGAAAATACTGCTGTTTAAAGAAAAATGGACATGACATAAAATTCATAATAATGCATTTATAAATTCGACTTTAACTCGTAATTTCGACTTTTTTATGTCATAATTATTATTTACGAAAATCATTTTTTCCATCATGTGCCGTAATGTGAATATAGTTTTTTTTAAGTCCAAAATGAAACATAATGCTACCATTCTAGTGTACTAAATTATTGAAACTAACTTGACCCACCATTATATATTATAATACTTATTATTATTATAAAACTGACAAACCCACATAAAATTAAAATATATCAATACATAGTAGGTGTGTTATTTTTAAAATCATAAATTGTGTGTAATTGAACATGTAATGTAGTAGAGTGAAGTGTCCGGTAGATGTCAGTGTAAACCAACATCATATCCGCTAATGGAACAGAGATCACGTGAGGTGAAAGAAGTAAGTGCTTCATATTTATAATGTGTGATATGAAGGTATGTGATATAGAGATGAAGGCCACTGCCAACAAATGTACATATTTAAATTTATATGCATGTTTTGTATCTGTATTTCCCAAAGTAACCTATAATAACACAGTGTGCAGTGATCTGGGGTAGACAGAGAGATGATTGCAGGTGTTTATGAGCTCTTATGGAGATGGCTGTGTTTCTCCTCTCAAACCTCAGGCATTCTCCAGTGAAGCTCAAACAATCAGACGGGCTGCTAATAATAGGCTTGCCTTGCTGTCTGATGATAGCAGGACTCATGGGCTGAATATAGACACCGAACAGCCTCCTAACTCTGTGGTTTATTACAGGAACCAGTTGATCAAAGCGCTTCATGTCATTTCCGTGGGCCTGAGAGGACTGAAGACGCCAGATGCAGAATATTCTGCTCATCAGTTCCTCTTGCAGCATCTCTTCTCTGATGACGAGGGCGGGGCTATAATCTGTCACTCACATGAGATCAGCCAATAGCAAGCCATCCAAGCATCCAACTCCCCACAGACACAATCAAGCCCCACCCACGTGTGTTCTGGTTCCTGAAGCGTTTCACTCGATATACGGAACAAATTAATCCATAAACAGTGATAATAAGGACCACATAAACAAAACATGATGTGAAAGATCATCATTTTTTGAAGTGGCTGGTCTGAGCTCCCACTTTATATTAGAACAACTTCCTCTGTCTGAGTTCAAGTCTTGTCTTAAAACCTATTTATTTTCTGTCGCTTTTAGTCTGGAATGAGTATTCTGCTCTGAACTGCTGTAAATTAGTTAAATAGTATTTACCTCTATGTGTACAGCACTTTGATCGGCCAGGGGCCGTTTTTTAAATGTGCTTTATAAATAAACTGAAGCTGAATTTTATCCTGATATGTTCATGTGTTTATTTAAGTCAAGTCACCTTTTAACAATATAGACCGTTTCAGAGCAGCTTTACAGGAGATTACAGTAATAGATTGTTTGGCTTTACAGCAGCTCTAGAATACAATTATTGTCCAGATAAAGTTAGTTTTGATTGATTTGATGCATTCAGTTTCAGGGGTCGATTTTTCAGGGGCGGATTTTTTCTACTATGATACACATAGATTGGATGTTGAGATGTGGGCGTGGCTCTCATGCAGATGAGCTGCAGGGGCGGAGTTTAAAGTGCTCCGCGGTTTTTCGAATATTCCCTTTCATGCAGTGAGTAATAAAAGCTGTTTGTGAATGGAAACTTTCCGCTCAGTTGTGAAGTCGAAAGTGCAGGATAAAGAAATGTATTGTCTCCCAAAAGAAAGAATCGCCCCTGAACCGCCTTTACGAGTCGTTTGTGTTTCGACTCTGCATGACAGTTTTACGTCACTAGAAAATACATTTGCATAGTATCCGCCTACATTGTAGTGTCCGCCCACAAACACTCTGACCCGCCCTCAATCAGAACTCAGTGTATTTGGACCAACTTGCTCAGTATCACAACCTGTAAGTATGGATAACTATATTTTTTTCCACCTGGTGTTCAAAATACGTAGTTTTGTGTTTTAAATTGTTAAATAAAACTGTGTCTCTTAATGCAGATTGTCTGTCGCTCTTCCTAAGTAGAGATAAAGGATGGAGATGTGTTTCATAAACTTTAATGTTACATCAGTCATCCCCCGTTGAGCTCAGTTACTGATACAGTTCCCGCATGTTCACCACAATAAAGTAGAGACATGTACAGAGGAGAGTTAGATTGATTCATCCAATGAGTCATCTCAGAAGCATTGAACAATGTGTATATTATGAGAAAATGAAAGTGTTTTTGACCCTGATGCATGCAAACCTGTCATCGAGACTCCAAAACAAAACCAGGAGCCTTTAACAGCATAATACTGCACTTTAATACTGCGCTGCCTGACTGAGCAAGGACATTCATTCTTAAAAATATCAAACATGAATGGATTAATAGTTCACAATAAGATCTACAACATTTATAGCATTTTCAAAATAGAACGGGTGAAGTTAATTTCATTAAGATCAAGAACATAATAATAATAACATGAACAGCTTTACAGTCTCTCTCTCTTTCATAACCGCTGTCCCTCAGTCGTACCACACACACACACACACATACGGTACAGCCTCTGGATTTCACTCCATTCATTAAAACAGATCCTTCACTGGAATTATATGACACGCATGCCAGTTTGCTGAATTTACCCAGAAGCCCCTGCTGTGTTTGGCTGTAAATGAAGACCTGAGTTTGAGAGCGATCAGATGAATGTCATATATCATATCTGAGTTGCTGTGACTAGCTGATTATTTATATTTGTGTTATCAAGCAGTTGAACAGGCGTACCTAATAAAGTGGCCGGGTAATGATAGGATGTATAAGTACAGGCGTTGAGCTGCTCAACTGTGGTTGAACGCTTCACATGCAGATGTCTGATCGCTCAGGGTTCATCACGTGTGTTTGAGCACTTAACAGACAGTTCCTCAGATGTTTGGTTAAGAGACACTGACTGCAAACAGATCCATGTTCAAGAATGGAGAACGAAAGACTCGTTTGTCACGCACTGATGAAGGATCATGGGTAATTGCTTCAGTTGCTGTGTGAAATCTCTGATCGAGGAACGCTTGTGCCGTTCTGTGGACAATATGCAGTTTTTATTACTGAATACAAAAATATAAATCACCTACACTCTACAATCCACATTATGCACGTCAAATACAACAAATTACTCTAAAAAATAAAGGTTCTTTATTAGCATTGATGGCCAAAGAACCTTTTAACATTCATAAAATCTTTCCATTGCCAAAAAAAAAGGATTTTTAAAGAACTGTTCACCGAAAGGTTCATTGGAGAACCAAAATGGCTTGAGCAAGCGAGCCGTCCGAGGGTTCGACTGGGACACACACACACACACCGGCGCCGGAGTTTCTGCCACTACAGTGTTAGGACTGTTCAATGGTTCAGCTCGAGCACATGGCCGTCTCTGATTGGTCGGCTGCTCATGCTCCATTGGCGGGAAATTCACAACCATAACCAGAGACCATGCGATGAGATTCCAGCGACCACTAGACGTGACAAAATCCAATTTCAAACATCACAGCCAATCAGAAATGCATGTGGGCGGAGTCTCACTGCAAAAGCACTGCACTCACAACCACATAAATCACAGCCAATCAGAAGAGTGTCAATGAAATGGATGAGCACAATGTTTTCTGACATTTCAGTGTGGATGAGAAACATCTGGAACGCGGTAGTGTGGACTGAGAGCATTTTGAAATGAAAACACATTTTTATATGTATCCACAAGTTTCCTACACCCCATGAGGCCTTGCGTCAAAAGTGGGCGCGTCTTCCGGTTGGAAGTAAACAAAGCGCGACTTGACATACTTCACACTCGTTCATTCAACAGTTGACAGTCATTCAAGTTATAGCGATCCAAACTAGATAACGATGTGGGAACACAACCTCAACGAAATTAAAAAGGGTGAAATAACAGTACCTTTACCCTCCACAGTAGCTGATTGGGAGTATTATAATAACATTATTAATAATCAATACTCATCAAGGCATGGTGACAGACAGTTGTGTGAGCTGACAAACAATTAAAATAAAAAATACACACTTAGTCATTGTGCTTTGGAGTTTATTCAAAATTATAAATGAATGTGCTGCTTGAATACATTAACTGGCACATTTGGTATTCTGTCAACACAGGCTTTGATCCTGAGTTTAGGTGTGACATCAGTAGCGAACAGCCAATCACATGCTGATAAAAGTTTATAGAATATTAAGAATTTAAACAAATGTACACAGGAAGATTCGTCGTCTTTTGGGAGGTGATGGAAACTACAGTCGTTGGCAGGATCAGAGACGGGCTCTGGCAGGATCACTCTGATTTCGTTTTCAGCTTATGTTCAAAACAATCACGTT